TGAGAACTTAATTTTTTTATGCACATTTCGGTGAATGGACTGATTGGTTCTGGTTTGACATTTTAGTTTGTTGGGTATGTGGTTGTTGGCTCAACAAAGATTCTAGATAGTTATCTTCTGTCAATTCACTCAATTGTGTTGTTATGAGGCTTTGGTGCTAAAACAAACAGTTTGATGATTAACATATGTACCATAAGAAATGGTTCATATTTTTGTTGATGTATTTATGGGTAAATACATATGAAAATGTCAAAGCCAAGGTCATCACACAAGGATATGTTGAAGTGACAATGTTCTTGTACATGCCAAGAGTAGTTAAAAACTTCCCTTACAATGCCAATGAAGGTCAAACATCTTTTTAAACCAATCTCCTCTATGATGGTTGGAGAAAATAGGAAAAATATGGTCATGAAATGGGAGATATCGGGGCTAGGCATTCACTATCATGTCAGTCGTTTGGGTTTTGGTGGGTCAACTCTAATTTGGTTGCTTGTTAAAGACTATATGGATGTGAACTTCTATCTGGATCTTTTTTGAACTATTTCTTGGATTATGGATAGTTTTATTACAAACTTTTTTTCTTTTTGTGTACAGTTTTTATTCATTTTTTGTATTGAAGTGGTTAAATGTCATACCATTATAGAAAGAATCATGCACACAAACTGCCTTACAATTTGGATTTTATTCTTGAAAATTTGGTCTATTCTTATCAGATTTCCATTTTGGTTGTGATTAGAATGTTTGATCTGTATTCTTGAAAATTTACTTTTGTCTATGCTGTTTATAAGTTTCCCTTTTGGGTTGTGATTGGGGGCATTGTTTTTAGGATATAAGCTAAAATTTTCTTATTTCTTATTGACACTTAAATACTGGCTATGCCGCCAATTTTATCTATTATAATTTTGTTTACTGTTGACATGCCATCAATTTTAACTTGGGGAATGGAATTGAGTGTAAAATTTAAGAAATGAAAAATTTATGAATCTATTTTTGTGTTGATTTTGTTTTTTCAATTTTGGGTGGATAGTTTGCAATTTTAGGTGTATTCTTTTCAATTTAGGAATTAAATTTCAATTTTAATGCCAGTTAGAATGTTTTTGCAATTAAGAATTCTTTTTACTTAATTACAGTGAATTTATGATGGGTGTTGCTCGGTGCTAATAATACTATGCATGTAAGGTGTTTGATAAGATGAGTTATTGTAATATATGTGGTTATGATGTATGATGGGTTTTGAGAGTGGTTGCTATGGAATGTGATGAGTGCTGACATGTGGAACAATCTTTGGGTGCAATGTTTATACGTGTCTTGCGTATTGCATCTAGCTAAGATTGGTTGTGGTGGCCATTACTAACTTGGTAAAGAGTGGTGAATTTTTTTATTTTGGTTCCACCACTTGAGTGGTGCCAAACCTTAATCCAAATGTAGGCCCATGATCAGAATTTGCATGATTTGTTTTTACAAGGTTAGGTTATGAATTTGCATTATTTATGTTGGGAATTGTTATAGTTGGGTACTATTTGTAAACAAAGCTATAAGAGCGGCATGTTTGGATTAGGCTCTGAAGATTTTTATTATTGTAAGCCCCTCCCTTCTTTGATTTCTTTCCACTACAGTTAAATACTCTTGATGGATTGAATTGATTTAAATTCCCATTATAGATTCATTGAGTTGGAGTTGCTTTATTTTTTTTCTTCCTTTATGGAACATGTGAATTTGCAGAGGTGACATATGTTTGTTTTGTTGTTGTTCCTCATAACATGGAATTTGCTTATATTAATCCTAAAAAATTTGGTGCTTCAAAAAAAAAAATTATTTGTTGGTCAAGTTTCATTACTTATAAAAATAAACAATCTGCCAATTAAAATTGATAAAGAACTTCATTTCTTCCTCCATTCTCGTTCACTTGTAAACTTTAAACTTTTGCTCTGCTTTCCCTTCTCTTTCCCCTAACTAGTCACGATGTTTAAGAGTGATTGAGTGAGTGTAGTCTAATTTGCGTGTTGGAGTCTTAATACTTGAGGTATTAATTGATAGGAGCAGATTAAAGGTAACTTAAGAGGGACACAAAAGTTTCTATCGAAATTGGTGAGTTAGATTTTTCTAGTTTTCATAATACTTTTGAGAGGTTTAGATCTTCATTATCCTTTTTGTTGTCAATCTATTAGCAATCTTTATAGATTACATTCTTAGGTGCCAACTATTTTATGTACTTAATTAATGTGCTCCTTCCTTAATATTGATGTCTTCTAAACCATTTTAACGAGACAGTATAACATTTTTCATTCAATTCAAATCAAGTGGCCTTATTTCCTTGTGATGACACCATGCAACATTTTGCATAGTTTTTTTTTTGACAATCAGACATCATATATATATATCATTAAGTAGGGAAGTTTTGGTTACAGTCAGCCAAAAGAAAAGCCTTGAGCTCCCTAGGGGGGAGCCAATCAAATTCAACGAGAGAGAATTGTTTAATTTAGCGGCTGCCACCCAGTGAGCAGCCTTGTTATGTGCCCTAGGCTTGTAAAAAAGGTAAGATTATGTACCCTAGCTAAATGTCAAATATCACTAATTATAACACTAATCTCCCACAACGGAATGTCTTCATTGGAGCTGAGTTTGATGATGCTCCGACAATCATTCAGAATTATTGCATTAGTGGACAGTTGGGCCTCAGCAAGGATATATGCCTGTCTAACAGCTTCAGCTTAAGCTAGTAAGCTTGAACATTTCGCATAGTTCGTTGGTCATCTTTAACTAGCAATTTTTCTATCATAGTATGCGATATCTACAAGGAGACTTACACTTTTACACTTCCAACTAGGATAAATTCAAGAAACAATGATATACGAATTTAATATAAATATTTCAATCTTCACATGATCAAATGACATGGTTTACGTTCAACGCACGTGTGCACCAACTAGTATAACAAAAAATGAAAGAAGAACTGAGCATGAAGAAGCAGTAAAATCCTCCTATGTTTCTTTTAATAAAAAAGGCCAAGCATTCCAAATTGACTCAATTAGCAATCGTAGCCAACTAATCCAAGCATGAAACGTGAATGTCTTCCCATTTTATGTAGATATATTGATAGTTAATAGAGAAAATTTACTAACTCAAGAGGATGTTTTATTATGCATAAGAGGTTGGCTTATATAGCCATACAACAACTTGAAATCCACAAAAAAAAATAAAGCAGAAGGATAGCACATGTATGCTACAGATCAGATCAATCAAACTCTTCTATCCTAACAAACCACTAACTGTTTCCCTAATAACAAGGGATTATTAAAAACCAAATTGACCAACTCAACTACATCATAAACATATAGTAAATCTAACACCCTCCCGTAAATTGATGTTGCACACAAAACATCAGTTTATCTTCGATTCAGATCACACACCAAGTAGACCCCGTAATCTCACAAATGTCTCAAGCTTCAATGGTTTTTTAAATATGTCTGCAATTTGCTTTGAACTCTGACAATATATTAACTCAAATGTACCTTCCTTTGTGAGCTCACGAAGAAAATGGAACCTGATATCAATGTGTTTGCTTCTACCATATAGTACTGGATTTTTTGAAAGTTGAATAGCAGAACTGTTGTCACAATGAATTGTCGTAGGACCACGTGGAACATACTTCAAATTTTCAAGCAATCTCCTTAGCCATATAGCTTGACACGCACAAGATGCAGCTGGAATATTTTCGACTTTTGTAGTTAACAAGGAGACTACCGACTATTTTTTAGAAGACCACGATATTGCTCCAGAATTGAGGAAAAACACATAGCCGGATGTGCTTTTCCTATCCTCCAAGTCCCCTGCATAATCACTATCACTATATCCAACCAATCTGTTACCCTTCTCCCTTTTATAAAGAATCCCAAAGTTGCTAGTACCTTTTACATAAAGAAGAACTCTTTTAGCAGCTTCAAAGTGTAGCGTGGTCGGTTCTTCTATGAATTGGCTTAGAAGGCTGGTGACATACATTATATCTGGCCTCGTTGCAGATAAGTACATGAGGCTACCGATTATCTGTTTGTACAAGGTGGTGTCAATTCTTTCTCCTCCAGCATCTTTTGTGAGGTGTGACAGCCAGGAACAATAGGATTATGGACATGATTGCACCCTTCCATCTGAAACCTTTTAAAAACATCTTGGACGTTTTTCTTTTGACAAATAAAAATCCCATTCAAGGTTTGGGCTACCTCGATGCCCAAAAAATAGGACATTCTGCCCAAATCAGTCGTGTCAAATTCCTTCATCATGGAATTTTTAAATTCCAAGAACATGTCTTCATTATTTCTGGTAAAAATCAAATCATCTATGTATAGACAAACTATGAGAATTTTACCTCCCTCCCTGATTTGGACGAATAAGGTTTGCTCAAATGGGCATTTCTTGAAGCCAATTTTGAGAAAGAAAGCCTCGATGCGACTATACCGTGCTCGTGGGGATTGTTTTAGGCCATATAATGTCTTTCTTAAGTTGTATAATTTGTGCTCATTCCTCGACTGGATGTACCCTGGAGGTTGGTCAATGAAAACTGGTTTCGTGAGCTCACCATGAAGAAAAGCGGATTTCACATCAAGTTGAAAAATGATCCAGCAATTTTGAGCTGCGAGAGACACCACCAACGGATGGTATCAAGACAGGCAACTAGGGCAAAGACCTTCGAATAATCAATTCCATGTTCTTGTGTGTAACCCTTTGCCACTAGCCGTGCCTTGTGTTTATCAATTTCGCCTTTTTCATTGAGCTTTGTTTTGTATATCCATTTGACACCCACTGTCTTTTCTCCGTGAGGTAAATCTGTAAGTTCCCATGTGTCATTTTTCTCAATGGACTCTATCTCGACATCCATGGCTTGCTTCCATATGGGTGATCGAACTGCCTCAACGAAAGAGATAGGATTGCTGCCAACAAACAAAGCCAACTATGCAAAGGAGTCATCATCTGATAACTCATCTCCACTCACATAATCTATCAACCTGGCTGGCCGCCGTGCTAGTCGTTTGCGTGAGGAATGTGGCTGATTTTTAGTGTGTAGAGGTGGTGGTGCTGCGTTGGAAGGAGGTGTCAACATACCCACCTGTGCTGCAGACGTGTCACAGGTGGCACCCACTTGTGTTGCGGTGCCCATGTGTGGCTGATCAACTGTATTAGTGCTACCTCCCTCCAATATTTCACTGGTTTGTTTACTAGCAATTACGCCAGTATCGTCTACAGCATCTAAAGAGCTTTCAAGATCAGGTGTGACATTATGCCAATCCCATGTTTGTCCTTTTGCAAATCGAACGTCACAACTAATGATGAGTTTCTTTGTGATGGGGTTATACATGCGGAAAGCCTTTGACTCTTCACTGATGCCCAGAAAGATGTAGCGCTCGCTTTGGCATCCAACTTTGTTCTGATTGAAAATGGTATATGTGTATAGCCTATGCAACCAAAAATTTTAAAGTGAGCTACAGAAGGCTTACGGTTAGACCAAGCTTCTTCGGGAGCATGGCTTTGATAGCAAAGGTGGGACTTCGATTCAGAATATGCACACTCCAATTGACAGCTTCGAGCCAAAAAGTTTTTGGGAGATTTTATCTTGCCATCATGCTACGCACCATATTGAGAATAATGCGATTTTTCCTCTCGGCTACGCCATTCTATTGAGGCGTGTAGGCTACAGTGAGTTGACGTTGAATGCCATGTTGCTCACAATATGTCACGAATGCCCATGAATTAAACTCACCACCATGGTCGGTGCGAAGACATTATGGAATAGCCTGTCATCTTCTCTACTTTGGATTTAAAGCTTTGAAAGGCAGTAAAAGCTTCAGATTTTTCATGTAAAAGATAAACCCACGTTTTGCGACTTTAATCATCAATGAAGGTAAGAAAGTACCTCTTCCCACTTGATGAAGCTGGGTTGATAGGTCCACATAAATTGGAGTGAACTAACTCCAAGATATGTTCATCTCGCCATGCTGGAGCAGTGGGAAAAGAGTCACAAGGCTGCTTGCCTATAGTGCATTCATCACATATGTCAGTTTGAAGCTGAATAGGAGGTAGACCAATGACCATGTTCTTCTAACATAGAGTTTTCAGCCCACTGAAATTCAAGTGTCCATATCGGCAATGCCACAACCAATATTGGAATATTGGAATGTAAAACACATCTGTCAGTTTACACACATGCTTATCAAAATGTATGTATATGTTTCCTTTGCCCATCACGACAACGGTAGAATTATCTCTCAACTTGACATGTTCTTGAAATGCTTCATTTAATTTAGAGAATAGAGATTTGTTACCGCTCATGTGATTGCTAAAAACAGAATCCAAGTACCAGATTTCTGAGTTAGTTGCCTCCTCCTTCTGAACGTATGCCATCAAGAGCACCTCCTCAGATTCAGCAAATTTTGTTTCTTCATTTCTAGAGATGTCGGGGCACTCATATTGATAGTGACCACGTTTATGACACCGAAAGCATTCTACATTGGATTTGTCTCACGTACCTTCTTGTTTTGAGCTTGTGTATCACGCCAACAACCTCATCCACGTCCATAGCCTCTCCCACGGCCACGACCTCATCCATATAGGGAGGTAATCTCCCGTCGAGTGTCTTCACCAAGTGAAGCTTTCAATAATTTTTCTTCAACAACAAAGCTAGCCAATCTTTGTTCATGGACCAATAAAGAGCTTTGTAAGTCATCAACGGAGAGAGTGGTAACATCTCGAAATTTTTCGATGGAGCATACAACATAAGCGAACTTAGAGGTCATGGAGTGAAGAATTTTTTCCACAACCACCACATCCTCCATTCTTTCGCCATGAAGTCTCATTTTGTTCGCAATCACCAATGTTCGCCCAAAATATTCATCAACAGTTTCTCCTTCCTTCATTGCAAGAATTTCAAACTCTCTGCGAAGAGCTTGTAATTGAGCGCGTTTGACATAGGTTGTCCCTGAAAAACTTCTGTTTCAGTGAGTCCCAAATATCTTTTGCAGTATCTTTCTTGAGGATGGTTTCGAGAGTGACACGATCTATAGCCCGGAAGAGATAATTTTTGACTTTTAGGTCTTTCAGCTTCAATTCATCTAGCTCAACATAGCCAGTTTCTACCAGCCCCCACTATTCCTTAGATTGCAGGAAATTCTCCATCAACATGCTCCAATGGTAATAGTGACCATCGAAGCGAGGGATGGCTGGCTGCACAAAATTCCCTTCGGTTGTCATCTTCCTTGGTGCTGCAAGATCCTCAAAGATTGCTGCTTTAATTTTGTCAGGCCCAGTGGGGGCTCTGATACCACGTGTAGATATATCGATAGTTAACAGAGAAAATTTACTAACTCAAGAGGATGTTTTATTATGTATAAGAGGTTGGCATATATAGTCATACAACAACTTGAAATCCACAAAAAAAAAAAAAACAGAAAGAGAACACTTGTATGCTACAGATCTGGTCGAACTCTTTTATCATAACGAACCACTATATGTGTTCCTAATAACAAGGGATTATTAACAACCAAATTGACTAACTCAACTGCATCATTGTGCGTGCTGGATCTTGCACAATATAAATACGAGAACAGATCTCTCCCTTGGTGAACTCGAGTGAGTCAGTCGAGTGGTCAACCCCGCTACTTGGAACAGCCTGTGAGGTCCGGTGGTAACCTGGAACGGTAATGGGAGACCCTTGTGGATTAACGGAACGATCCAGTAAGGCTGAAGAAAGGTTCCTGGAACAAAGAAGAACAAGTTAGAAGGGCGCCGGAGTGTTTTCCGGTGTATCCCCTCCGACGATCAAGTCAGTTTTTGAGAGAGAGGAAGAAGAAAACACTGAGTATAATTTGTAGCAAAGGTTTCACCTTGTTTTTCTTGCCTTTTGTGAGGAGTATTTATACCTCAAATACTCATGATTGCTGTCAATGTGGTCAGTAGGTGATCATTAGATACAGGCAACGTGCGCACTGATTCCTACGAGGAATGTCTTCTCTTTTAACTGCTTGGGACCCCGAGCAATCAAGACTGTGTCATCGGTCTGCCGACGGTTCAATGAACTCCTCTCGGCAAGGATATAATAAATGCCCAGCCTTAGAGACATTTATTATCTTTCACTTTCGAGCCTTACCGCATTAAATGCTGTCTCATCAAAGGAATGATATAATTAAATGCTTGCTTTCCCAAGTCGTATGTCAGCAAGGGCATCCGGTCTTTCTGTCTCTGATGTAACACAATATGTCACGCGTTCATTCCCCATTGGTTGTGTCCCCTGCCCTCTGTGCCTTCTGACACCAATTGCGTAAGACGAGGTCATGATAGCTAACCTAGTCTAGCGTAGGCTAATGACCTGTACATCAATAGTCTCTGCTGGAGCAAAGAACGGTATCCTAGACGAGAGGGGTACATCTCGGTACCGAGGAAGAGGTACATCTCAGACCCGAGGAAGAGGTACATCTCGGAGCCGAGAGGGGGAGGCCTAGCGACCGATGTACAATATCAGACCGAGAGGTACGTGTCGGTACATAAAAACGTACTGGATGCCACTTGATCCCTATGCTAAGTACCTCGGGGGAGAGGGAACTTGTGAACCGATGGATACATGATCTCGGTAACAAGGATTAGTGACACCGAGGACACGTGTCTTCATCTTGGAGTATTTCGGAAATGTCCCATCAATCATAAACATATAGTAAATCTAACATTTTATTCCAATACCTCAAGGAACATATAATCCCAATGGAAGGCAGACAAATTCAGACATGCAGATACACACGTCACACAGACAGAGATTGAGGAGAGGAAGCACCACTGTTTGTTCTTGCCCGATTTGTGAAAACGCAGGGGAGAGAGAGGGGGAGTGACGGCTGGGAATAGGGAAGCATGTGGGTTGTGAAGAAGACAGAGAGAGACAGAGGTACAGAGGGACGGGTGGGAAGTTTTGGCCAGCAGAATCCCACTTGAATAAAATGACGCTATATGTATTATCTTCTTCAATCTGAGTTCCAAGTTCGATCGGTAACCGTTTATATAGTGGCTGACAACTTGAAAACCCAATGAATTTGGTGTAGGCCTCGGACAACATTTTCACAAACCCAAAAGCAACCAAAGTTTGATTTGTATATTTCTTCTTCACCATCGTAACATCCATTGCACAAAAATGGATTACTATCTCAAAATTGTTGTATACATATGGGTGGGACAAGAAATCAAAGTAGAAGACACAATAAAAATTAAAAAAAAATATAGAAAAAGGTCGTTAGGCTATCTTCGAGATAATATTTTTCCTACTATGATGCAGGTCTAATATTTAATACTATCAAAGACCATATTTCTTACTAGTCTTGGAACTTGAACTCAACCCGAATAAACTTTGAAAATTAATCTCAAGAAAATATGATAATAGAGATAAAAAATTAACAAGTGACTTCATTATGACTTCTACAATTTTTTTTTTTTTATTTGAGGAAGGGAAGTAGGGAAGGAGGCTTAAACCTTTGATCTTGATAAAACAAAACCTTCACAAGACAAGGAGTACCATTGAACCAAAGACCCGTTGATATTATGACTTCTACTATTAGCCAATGATAAGAACCCTATATTTATAGAATTCCATATACTTCTTTAGAAGGGTTGTGCCTCTTCAATTAAATGTCAATAGATACTTTTATCTGGAAAGTTGTAACTCTTGTCTTTAAGAGTCACTTTAATCACTAATAAAAAAATAAATATATAATTTATCATTATTAGTAAATATTGGTATATATCCATATATATACATTCATTGTCTTCAATGTGTTTTCTTTACTTGGGGAAAAAACTCGATATGGTTCTATTTATTATTATTTTTAATTTTTTCACGTGTTACACGTGATGTAGTGCTAATTAATAGTATGGGTATAGAAATTATAAACTTATATATGCATTTGCATAAAATTTACTATTATGTTTAATTATTATTGTTGTAAAAAAATAATAATCTCATTATAAAAATTATAAACGTGTATATACCTATGCATACTATTATACATACAATTAAACTTAGAGAAACCCAACAAAAGAAAAGTCAAACAAGTAAAATGTAAAAGAACAGGCTACTTAAAATGGATCGTAAGAATTTCGCTATTTAATTTCTTTGCATATTTTCTACTTCTTTGGAAATATTGTGATTTTTTTTTTTTTTTTTTTTGACAACAGACCATGATGCCCCATCCAACATGGCAGCATTGAAAGATTAATTTTGTGAGAAATTTAAAACCTAAGTGTTATGAGTTATAGATAGATAGATAGACATAGAATTGGAGCAATAGAAAAATGGGTGACACTATTATGTATAGGAGCAAAAAATTACATACATTATTTTCTAAGG